AATAGCTCCATAATATACTAAGTATTTTCTTTTCGAACCAAATAGTTCTAAAACTTCGAAATTGCGGAAAGCACAGAGCTTCATTGTATTGATCAGTTAATCATTCCTTTCTTTCTACTATGGGAAAAACAGTTTAAAGTTCGTATTTAGCGGTAATATTGTAGAGCCAAATATTTAAATCTCTATTTTTAATCATCCAGTATCCCAGTGTAGCGTCAAAATGGTATTCTATTTGAATACATTTTCATAAAAAGATGTCGGTTATTTCGGTAAAATATTTGTAATATTACCAACAAAATGCGTGTCATGATTCGAATAGAACTCCTAATCATAGGAATTTATGCTACGCGATTTTAGTGAGCATTTATTAGTTAGATAGGCTATCGAATTACAAGTACATGTCATGGTTTCTACTTGTATCGTAAACTTGCTCAACACACTCGATTTGGATAGTTTTTATGAGGCTGGCAGCTCAACATCTGTCCAAAAAGTGCGGGCTAATGTGCGATACATTGACTTAAGGCCGGCATGAAGTCGCTTAATTTATGCAAAGCTCCAATAAAGACACTTTAAACGTACAAAAAAAAAAAAAGAGCAAACATGATGCAAGCAGACAGGCAGGCCGAGAGACAGACAGACAGTCAGGCAGACAGACATACTTGTTGATATGCTACACATACTTACACACCTCGGAACATATGTAAGCAGAAACTCGTATGTGCGCTGGCATTAACCTTAATGGCAGTCAGCAACAAAAAATTGTAGAGGAAAACAAATAAAGTCAAATTTGGCATGCAAATCCTTTAAATCAAACAAAACAAATTGCAGGCGTTGGCAAAAAGCAAAAACAAAAAAACAAAACATTAAAGGCAATAAATGTTGACAAAGCGTCGAATGTTGAACGTTCCCTGAATGGCAGTGAAATTTTTGGCGTACGCGAAAAGCCAACGACGTGCAGCTGTTGCCGGCACCCCCCAAAAAAACCAGACCGACAAAAAAAAAGTAGAAACGGAAAACACAAGAAGTACAACAAATTGGAAAACATAAAATCAACAAAGCTAATAGTTCACTTAGGGAAAACCGCCGCAGCAGAAAAAAAAATAAAAAACAGCGAGAGACGAAAACCGAATAACAAAAGACGGCGACGATGTCAGTTGTCTGTCTGTCTGTCTGAACGAGTATGTCTTCTGTCCACAAAGTTGGGCAGGGACAGAGGTGACGGACGGACGGACGGACTGATGGACTGGGTGCATGGTTGGATCTGGATGGTTGCCCTAAGCCAAGCAAGCGCCGTGTGACACACTGGCACACATTTTCCCAACAACACACACACACACACACACACACACACACACACACACACACACGAAGACTGGCACACACCCAGGGAGAGCTACCAACACACACTGCAAGCTCACGTTGTGTGCGGCCCTAAGTCATATTGAGCCGATTTACTATTGAAAATAAAATTTTATTATATTTTTGCTGGTCGCTTGCCCTGTTGCCCTCCTTCTTCTTCTTCTTCGTCTTCGTCTTCGTCTTCTTCTTCTTATTGACACCCTCCCTCCCCTCTCTGGTTATCACTTCAAATGTGCAACGCTCTGACGACTTTTGAATTTGATGTTGTTCCACAGCTTTTTACGACATTCTGATTTGTTTCAATAATCGATGGTTTTGATTTAAAAACGGAAAAATAAGAAGAAGGCGAAAAATGTGTAATTTTTGCTGCGTGCCGGTTATTTTGAAACATTTCTGAAGTATCAGCAGCTGCTGCTGCTGTTAGTTTCCATTAAATTTTATGAGCCATTCCAGTATTTTTTCTTTTTCATTTTCTTCGGAAGCAAACACCCATTCAAGCTTTTTCAGCAGCAAATCATAATGAGTTATAAATTTATGAAACTTGTATTCTCCCCTGGCAGCAAACAGACATAATGCTGATGTCTGTGTATCTTTTATATACATATGTATGTATGTATGTATGTATTTATGTATGCGTCATACAAATCATACAAATGTATTTGATTGTAAGGCGTTTACTTTTTTTTTTTTTTGTTGTACTTTCAACACTTTCAGAAGCATTTGCATGAATAACTAACTCGAAGACGCGCCCCAGCTATGAGGTTTGCGTTCTGGATGGGTCTGGGTTTGATAGGCTCCAGCATTAGCTTTAGCTGCTGGGCTGTGGATTGGCGGGTTAGGCCCAACTAATCGGCATTACGTGCACTCCATTCTAAACAATCTTAGGCGGCGACATGGCGCGAGTTGCTGCTTGTTGTTGTTGTTTCTGCTCGCTGTCTCTTTGACAGCACCCTAGGAGCCAATTTTGTTGCCACAGACATACGGGCATTTGACATTGGCCGCACGGCCCGTTGCACGTGTCAGCAACTCGCGCGTCTCACGTCGTAAATGTATGTAAGTGTGTATATATAGTATGTATGGATGTGTCTGTGAATTGCATAAATTCTGACTCATTATGTCAAAAGCGGCAATTCTAATATGTTAAAGGCTTTGGTGATGCTGAAGAAGATGCCACCTTGTTAGCAATCGGGCAAATAAAACGTCTCTGAATTTTATGAATGTTAAAAAATCAAGTTGTTGATTCGCCGGCGTCTTGTTTGTTTTCGTTACTCAAATTGTGATATATCTGGCCACAAAGTTGTACATTTTTATGTAGATTTTATATTCTTCAGATTTTATGTCTTTTTACATTTCGGAAGGCTGTTTGTAAATACATATTTTTGAAATGTGGTCATTGACCAAAAAATCTTTCTTTTAATTTCGTTTACATTCGGGTAATATAAGTTGTTTCTTAGCTAAATGTGTTTTTCATTACAAATTGACCTATTTTTCTAATACTATAATTAGAATATAATAATAAGTTAAGTTATTTAATTTCAAACTGCCCCTCGCTGGCAAAAATCTTGTCCATCAATATTAAATAAAACAGAAAGTCACTTCCGTCAACATTATTCTTATCTATTATTTGTAAATAATGCGCTTAATGATGCCATAAATAATGCTTATAAAATTCATCGGATGACTTAATTTAGGGCCATGTAAATAAATATTTATTTGTATGCAGCAAGTAATTAAATAATATATATTAAATGGCTATAAATACATATATATATATATATATGGTACGATCACTTAAAGTAAAGGTCTATTTTTGTGCCATTTGTTACAATCAGCCCAATGCCTAGTTAGTTCAATCCAATACTCTAGAGTCAGATTGAAGTCAGTAGTGATGCACATACAAATTATGAGTTTATGTATTTCATTTTCTGAAAGGTAAAGTTTTCGAATAGTTCTTGAGATAGAATCTATTTTAGATATGTATGTATAGTTTTTAACTTTTATCCCAGGTTCAAGTCTATTTTAATAGAATGGTTTACTTAGTTCTTATCACAATTGAATTCAGTAAGTGACTACAATATCTAACTACGATAGGAAATCTGTTCCATTGAATTGTTTAACAAACTAATAATATTGTATTCTGACGGTTTTTGGTGTCATAATTCGATGCCTAACCAATCAATTGAGATACATACAATTATGTATGTCTAAATAAACTAAATACCGTATTATGCATTTATATATTTGTGGAGTTACATCTACGAGTATTGGGTTTTGTTTTGTAATTTCTTTTGACTGTCACTTTGTGCATTTCCCCCGACCTTCAATTATACGCACAGGAAAACACACACATACATACATTGATTCACACATTATATCAAATTAGCTGTCAATTCGGCATTATCATCATTTATGATTAACAGCCGGCAGCAATTGAATTTTTATTGTTGACATTCTTGCACTTCATCAACATGTTAATTAGTCATAATAGAGCAGCACTCTTCAAGAGCAGCATTCTTGCTTAATGTTAATAATTGAAAGTCATTTGCATAGCAAGCCGAATAAGTGAAAGTGGCCCAATAATTAAAATAATGCCATCGAACACTTACATACATACATACGTACGTACAGATGTATGTACATACATATATATACTCGGGCTCTATATCTATGTCTCGAGCTAAAAAGACCCGCTTGATAAATATTAATAGCCTGAATAGTGACAATTTGAGGTCAGCTTGGCGCCTTGATGTATGTACATATGTTAGTGAATGTGTGTGCTCTGTGTGTCGCTCATTAATTGTGTTAGTTTATGCATACAAATACATACATATGTATGTAATTTATGCCTAAATTAGACAACAAATTCCAAGGGATGCTTAAGAAATTATTATTTACTTATCAGCTGCTGCTGCTGCTGCTGCCGCTTGCCCTTGATGGGCAATTACACAATTAACTTAGCATGATTTTTAATGATTTATTGGGCTCTTTAAGAATGGTTTCAAAACTTTGTTGACAAATTTGATTTATTGCTAATTTGCGTCTGTTGCGCTTTGACATTTCGAATACTATGAACTTTGTCAACAAACAATAATAATACACATTACCAACCAGCCAAAAATTTAAGGTGTGTCTCAATCGCTCGCCGGCCTATCTTTGCATGAATAACAAGCATCGAATGATTAGCATCGCTTCTAATTGCAATTAATCTAAACGAGTTGTAGGCTTGACAATCATTATATGTATACTCGTAGCTGTGTGTGCTATTGAATGACGCATGAAGTTGTTTGTTACAAAAATTTGCGAACCACCACAAATTTGTGTGGCTTCCAGCTGACTGGCTTTTATCGTTCTGTGTATGCGTATGTGCGTGAGTACGTTTGTGGTTTGCCTGGTACGTTTAGTGGTGGTGTGGTTGTGGTGTAACTGCACTCTGCAGTCAAGTGGCTAAGTATGTTGTCTGCACAAAATTTGTAGCCAGGCTTGCTAATGGGCTTGTGTTTCCAATAATTGTGGTTGAGAGATGAAGTGTCTGCGGTTGTGCTTTAGTCGTAATATGTCGTATGTATGACAATGTCACATAATATTTCGTATTGTGTTTTAGTCTTTGTTTTACTAATTTTTCTCATTCTTTTTTCTTGCAGGACACTGTCCAATTATGGCAGCAATTTTGTTAATGTTCTTAGCTCTTCCCGGGGCGAATTTGGTCTTTGGAGTGAACGAGTTGGAGGTGGCGTCTGTTAAAGGTATGTTTTCTCAATATTTAAAAGAAGTTTTCTATAAAATATTACAAATAATTGTTCATTAAAATATTAAAATCAACATTAGTAGTTTTAACTTACTAGTTGGTTTTTTAATACCAAATAACTAACAAATAACTAGGATGGGGTTAAGCAACAGCATACTTTTGGGCTGAAGGGAAAATGTTATATTAAGCATTGTGTCTATTCAGTTATGCAAGTGAAAAAATAAAAGCATAATTTACGGATGGAAATTTAAAAAATAATAAAAGTTTATTAGTTGTTTTACTTGTCTTTCCCATTCTTAATTCATTCGATTGAAGTGAATGGAACCATTCGCGAGCATTCTGTAAGTCGGTTTGTTTTTATATTTATATGTAAACATTTTTCTAATTATATTGCAGATCTCAATGGCGAATACGAATTAATGGATCTGATGTATGACGACAGATTCAAGGAAATTGAATTTGACACAGGCGAAGACGGTTTTCCTGTCCCCAAAATCAAGCCCACGGCAGATATTAAAAGCACGTACCGCTTGCATCTTCCCGATACACTCTCCGAGTTTGCCATCCAGTGCGAATATCGGTCGAGCTCGTTAAAAGGCGGCTACTTGTTTAGCGTTGTCAATCCCCTTGATACCGTCGTGCAGTTGGGAGTGCATCTCTCTCCGGTTGTCAAGAACAGCTACAACGTCACGCTGGTCTATGCTCAGGCCGATGCGATTTCAGGACGCAAGCTGGCTAGCTTTCCGCTTACCCACGAGCCGGACAAGTGGAATTCCGTGGCCTTTCAGGTGCTGAGCGACAATGTGACATTCTACTATGACTGCAAGCTGCAAAACAGCACGGCTGTAGTGCGTGACCCCTTTAAATTGGTTTTCGACACCTCATCCACGCTATACATTGGTCAAGCGGGTCCCCGCATTGGCGGACACTATGAGGTAAGTTCTGACGGCGCCCGATTCTTCATAACTGTGTAATGCCTTTTAATGAAATAATTTTTGAAACGCCAATACAATAGCACACATAAAACCATAGTATGGAGTCAGAGTTGCTCCACATCAAAAGGAAAATGTGTGGCAATCTGTGCCTCAATGCATATCAATTCAATTTAATTGAAAATGAACATACATACATACTTAAAAATAAAAACAAATGCAAAACATGTTTGAGAAAATTTTCGGAAAACATTTGATAACTTAACAAAAACGTTGGTATCGAGTGGATGATATCTTATATCTATCTAATGAACGTCAAACATTGTTTTTTGCTTGCATTTCAGTAAAATTTTGAGAATGGCAAAATTTTTGTATAGCTACTGGTAAGGTTTTGACATTTATTGACGCCACGTTCATCAAATCTACCTAGTTTTATACACAAATAATTTTCTTAAGCCACATGTTGATTCTTAAATCTGAATATGGAAAATTTCTGGAGTATATTTTTGTCTTCTATTGATGGACAAACTGAAAGGGCTTCTTTATATTTAAGCTAGGGGCCTAACAATTTTCATGCGTAGTGGTTTTCTCTTCTGTTGTTAAAAATGAAATAAATAAATTTGAGAAGGCATCGAAAATATGAAAACATTAAAGCAAATGATTGTGTATAGGATTAAAGTTACGTAGCTATTCAAGTTTTTTTGGGAAACAAATTGTTCAAGTACTCGAGAATTCAAATCCAACCGTGTACTTGTTTTTATCTGTACATCGTTGAAAATTCATAAAATATCTGTGTTCGCCCAAATTAGAATTGAATGTACATTCAGCTGACGAAATGGAAATATTATGTTTGCTTTTTTCAATTGCGGATGCCGCTTTAGTACCTCAAATGGCGCTGGTGTTGTAATCCGCTGTACTTAAGATTTTAATTTGAAACTTGATTCGCTTACTTCATTTGTAATACCCTGAGCGCATTGTGCATTAGCTTCGAGTGCCTGCTTTCCTAAACAGTTATTTGTGGATGCATGGGCAAATATTGAGGAAGTGAAGAGCTCGTGCTCAATAGCTTTTCAACACGGTAGCTAACACGCTTCACAATAAAAACTCACCCCTATTCGTTGCTAGCGCCACTTTGTCAACTAGCGGCGAGTTTTGGTAAAGCGCTCAAAACGTGAGATTCAACTCGAGCGCCACTCAAACCACCCTTCACTGAGCGCTGAAAATATGCTTGACGTTTTCACTCAAAAATCCTTTTCGAATCGCGTATACGCCATGTAGTACGCTTGAGACTGGCCGCTCAGCGTAGAATTCAGCAGAGCACGGAGAATTCAGCGTACGATGTGGAAACAACAGGCACGAACGTGTCTGTGTTGTCTGTGGCACGACAGCTGCCCTCGCTTGCGTATGAGCGTGTGTGTGGGTGTTTGTGCCGCATGTTGCTGTGATTTGCTTCATGGCCTATGCCGAGACGAGTGCGTTTACCTTTTCAGTCGCGTTCGGTGCTGCAAACAGTTAGGATGTGCGTACGGAAAACTAAACGCTGAAAATATTGTAGCCACATTCAAGCACATATACACGCACTACTTGGGGCGCCTTTAACGTTTGTGTGCGTGTTCGTCTCCGTTCTTCGTCGTCGGCGGCTCTTCGGCGTTGCCTTTCGTAGCCATGTTATTTGTATATGTGTATGTGCGTATGGGTGAGCGTGTGGCGGCTCAAAAACAAGCAGCTGCTACTGCCTAAGCTAACCAAGGCAAATAAAGCAGCCAAATATGGCCAGAAATAAGAATAAAAGTGATTTATGCCTTAAATGAAATAGCACAAATATTTAATGAAATGAAATGTAGAGCAACAAAGTGTTCACTGAGTGAGAGTGTGGAACCCAAATGTCAATTAAAATTCAATTATGCGACCGAAAATGAAGGAAAAGGAAAGGCGGCGCAAACGTTTCAAAATGCGCTCGCTTAACTGAATATAGTAATAGTTCCATGCAACAAATTATATCGTGATCGTATCATACTGAACATATCCAAGCGTTGGACATATCCGCGTCTTCGTCGCGCGTGTTATTCAAGATTTTGCATATCGCGTGCAAAAAAACCAAAAACTAAACGTTATTGCAGATTTGATTGCAAAATTAATAAGAGTAATTGTCACGGTTGGCATATTACACGTATACTCAGTGTTCTTGTTCCATGTAGGTCGTAAAAACAAAGGCAACACACGCGTACAAAATTGTTGTTTGTTGGTGCGCAAATATTTACAATTAGTTTGGCATGTGCGCGGTTTACTCGTTCTTGCCGTTGTTGTTGTAGCTGTAGCTTGTCAAGTGTATAAAGCTACGCCTCGCCTGCACGTCATTCCCTTACTCGTCCTCGTGCCTCCGTTTACTCATCACATCGTGTGCCGGCAAGAAAAACTTTTCGTTGCATACTATGCCGGGTCGGACGCGCGCTCCTCGAAAAGGCCAACAACACAACTCAAGCAACAAGACGAATGCAATTTAGCTAACAAAAAGCTTCAAGCCACTGCCACTAAATGCATCATTGAATTAAAACCAATTAATTGTATGGTACAATATGTACAACAATTGTGTGAAAAGAAACATTATTTAAGCTCAGCAGCAGGTCATGTAAATAAACGAAAGAACAAACAAACAAACTGCCAAGCATCAAAGCCAAGTTAACAAATTTTGAAAACACATGCATAAATGTTGTGCTGTCAGTTGCACGCGGAAAAACAAAAAAATTCAATGCAATAAAATGAAACGAGACGTGTAATTTAAAAACTTAAAAATTAAAGCAAAATAAACATAAATTACAAATTTAACAACAACAAGACCAGTAAAAAAATACACATATTTTGTAATTAAATTATCTGTGATTTTTCAACATATTCAATATATCAAATATACACATAGTCAGATGTATTTAATACCATTTATTTAAATCGGTTCATCCAAGTGACTTTTTCAACGCGTTCGATTTATAGGTAAATATTGTGACAAGGCTTACTGCAATTTGCCAAACACTTCATAACACACATACACACACGAACACAAATGGCTTGAACGTTGTTATTCTGGGCGGCTTTTCAAATGAATTGCATAAATTATGAGTAAAACACTTGGACAAGGACTGAGAGCAGCGCAGTTTCGCTCCGTTCGCTTCATTGGCGAAGCTAAATCAATGGCAAACTCATTAAAGCGACAAAAAGCATAACAACCACCCTTAACCAAATCAGTATAAGCCCCCGCAACCGCAAATGGGTGGCGCACACAGACACACACACTTACACCCATGCATATTAAACAACTGGGCGTATGTGTAATTTATATGAGGCGTGTGGATATACATACATACATACATATCTATATACCAGTGTTTGAGTGTGTGCGTGTATGTGTCCTTTTGTCTTCGAACGAAAGGCATATGAAAATACGTTTTATTTATTAAATAAAAGCGCTGCACGCTGCCAGCTAGCCAGAGCACCCATAGAGGCCGCCACAATTCAGAGCTCCGAACATAGTGCTCGGCACACAGAACTCTTTCAATGACTGCACTTGTCGTTCGTTCGTCAACTATTTTATGTACTTGCGACTACATGTTGTTGTTGGCTGTCGGCTGAACTTTTTGTTGTTGCCTTTGCCTTTGCCGTTGCCGTTGCCGTGCTCTGTATTTCTGACAAAAGATAAAAAGGTTAACAGCCGTGCGACGTTGTATGAAACCTATTGATACTTTAACTTGATTCGCACAAAAGGCCGTGCGACGTGTTTAGACTTCGTCGGGCTTTGCGAGTCTGCAGTAACTACCTACCTACCTAGTACATAATTACACGTGATGGTATAAGTAATTTTCAAGTCAAGAACATGGATGGGAGTACTCAATTATATTGGAATACAGTAATAAAATCCTGCCTGAAAAAAATGTATTTAACATAACTGAAAACTAGAAAATGTTAGTTATTGCCTAACATTTTCAAATATTTATCATTATTTATATTTATTTATATTTTAGTTTCAAAACATAATTACAAACATTAGGCTTTATATGTTGCAGAGTGGGTCTGTTTTGGTTAATAATATGAATAAGTTAGTTATTTATTTGTGATCTTTCAGATTAGAATTGTTACTTTATTTTGATGTAAGAGTGATGCATAGTTCCCAAAAACTAACTTACTAATGCAAGGGTTTTTAAAATAGAATTTTAATTAAGCGAATAAGTATATTTTCAGATATTTTTACGTTGGCAGCATAATATTTTCAATTAAAAAATTACAGCTAATTGAAACTCCTTAGCTTTTGCTTGCCTCAATTTGCATGTATTTTAATTAATTATGAATTTTCAAATCAAATCAATTGTGAAATGAATTACTGATACATTTGAGTAATTGCATTATATGATTTATCATTTTATTATTTTATTTGTTCTTATGATTAGCACATGCCTTGAGAGTTGACGAAAACTGCATCGGCAATCGGGGTTCTTTCAATTTTCACTATCATTTATTACTCATAAACGAAAAGTCTGCTTTGAAGAGTAACTTATATGTTTTCCTTCTGAAGCAGCAATTTTATATACACCCAGCAGTTTGAAGGCTAAATATGATTTCACTCTTTACTCTGTCCAATACTTGAACTATTTATTTACTTGTCGAGACTAGTAAAAATACTTTTATAGCCTAATGTTCATTCGCAATGTAGACATGTGTGAGCGCTTTAGTATGCTTTGGCGTGTTTTGTCCTGTCTAGCCGTCTGTAATTTGACATGCCTAACCTTTTAAATATTTATAGCACAAATAAATAATGTGTCGTTTGTCATGACCGAAAAGATACGCAAATGCAGCAACGCCCTTCTTGACTTTCAAACCCACAACCAATAAGGCAACTCTTAGTGTTGCTTTCTATATAAATCGGTTGGACGTCAATTCGAAATGCTTTAGCTATTGGCGGAGATAAGTCTTCTGTTCTGCAAGCATGTGTTGTACGAGTGTCCTGCTTAATGCCA